CCAATATAAACTCACAATGTAATGATTTGTTGGATGAAATGCTTACATGTGTTTAATTTCTTTAAAGTTACCTGCATTAGGTGCTTGTCAAAAAAATGAAATAATTGTCATTGATGATATGGGTAAAAATAAAAAGAAAATAGTTATTGTTTATGTGGGACCTATATAATGGACCATATAAAGATCCAATAAAGTCTTTTTGCTCATGTCATTAATGACAAAATAGCTTTCTGATAGGTCAATATTTAAGGAGCCACTTTAATAAAAGGATTTATAGTGACAAAATAGTTTTATGATAAGTCAATACTTAATGAGTTATTTTAATAAATGAATTTATCTATAAGGGTATAGGGTAAAAAGTAATGATTGAGTAATTATTATTTAATAATAATTATTTTTTATCTTAAAAATGATGAAGTTAACTTTTATTTTAATAGTAGGTGCCATGTGTTAAATTTTTATTAATTTATTTTAAATTAGAAAATAGAAATTATCTTTTTAATTAAAAATTATATATATATATATTTTAAAATACTACAATTATTATTCAATTATTACTCCTTATCTTGTGCCCTTATATAGACAAACTCTTAATAAAATTAGAAACTCTATGTTGGCTTTCCATCTCCATCCAATAAAGTTTTGTATAGTAAAAATAGTGAGTTTGAGTCCTTGAATAAAAAAACTAGAAAGTTAAGTTCCTTGCTTAGGAAAAAAACTTTGAAGTTTGGATTAGTAAACTTTTGAAAGTTGGAGTAGTCCTTTTCTATACCATGGATGCCAAGCCAACGAAAAAGAATTAGATGCTTCAGACAGAGTCGGTGTGCAAGTGGCCCAATATATTGGATTATGTTGTGCATAATTAGTTGTTTCAATTATTTTTAGTTTAGTTCATTCCAAATAACAATTTTTTTATTAGACGATGAACTGTATAACATGGGATAACTCTTTATTTCTTAAACTCCTCCTCTCCACCTATACCAAGTTTTAAATTTATGATCTCGAACTTAAAGACTTAACCTCTTAATCACTACATTTCTAAATAATAATTAAATAATAAGATATTTTAGTTAAATTGAATATTTTTAAAATGACTTACTATAGAATAATAATATACTATTTTAATAAAATAATAAATTATTCTACAAATTTATACTAACTTTTTTTTTCACCTTTAAAAATAATAAGTTATAGCCTCAAACAAATATTTGATTAATTTTCGTTAAGAAATTCTCATTTGGAAATATTTGGTTGCATATACGAAAAAATGAAGTGTAATCCTTCTTATAGAAACTGCATTCCATTTAATCATTGATGGAGAAGACAGATCCCTTGAAATTTTGGATTAAAACTTGATTAGAACTAGAGCAATTCTCTTATGTTTATATCAGGTTGTGGATTCTATAAGAAAAAAGTGCAAGAATGCTTAAGAAGTTAATTAAATAACTTTAATGAATTAATATGTAAAGAATATTTTATTAAGTGTATTTAAATAATTTTATAATAATTCTTACATTTTTTTTACAAGTTTTTTTTTGCACAGTAAAAAATGAATTTATTGTTTAAGAGTGCAAAAAATACTCCAACCCATTACATCCATGTTAACTGTCTAATAGAAGTCACAGTACAACTAATTACAGCAACTGTTTACTTTCTCATGCTCAGCATTGGCTCTAGTTTCCAGTTGTTGAAATCAAACCTTGGTAGCTTTGATTTACCTGATATCCAATGAAAAGCCCTTATTTGTGCCAATTCCATAACTGTGACCTCATTTGCCTTTCTATTCCGGAAGATCATCTCATTCCTTGCTAGCTATATTGCCCATGACACTGAGCACCAAAGAGTTATCCATCCTTCAGTAGTTGATCTTTCTTTGAATAATGAAAATTGTTGTTTGAAAGCATCTAAGATTTCCTTAGCCGTAACTGAAGCAATTGCCCACCATTGCAAGCATAAATTCCAGATTTTAGAGGCAAAATTACAATGCAGAAATAGATGGTTTGTGTCTTCTTACCCATCACAAAAGCAGCATTTTAGTTGATTATTATTCAAAATGCCTCATTGGAATAAATTCCATTTTGTGGCAATCTTGTCTTGTAGTGTTTGCCATATAAAAGCACTGACCTTTGATGGAATCGAAGGTATCCAAAGCTTGTTGTAAGGCCATCCATCAACATTCCCGGGGTGTTTGCCATATAATTCTTACATTTTTTTTTACAAGTTGACTCGAAAAATACCTTTTTATATCTGTATTTCTAGAAATGTTTTTTTATTATGGACTGCAAGGAAAGTATAGTTTATTTTGGAACACTTTTATTAAACTCCTTTCCATATTAATTTGTTAATGATGTTTTGGTAATACATTTTCGCCTAGTGACTCGTGTTCGCCCATTAATCAAAAAGGGCTTTAAGTTGAATTAAATAGAAGATTAATAAGCAAATCACAACATAAACGTGGACATTAACATGTAATTAATAGCTTAATTAATCCTGCTTTATACGTCGTGTCGAAGACTTGCTCGTGCGTGCCATACTGTGGGGGACAGCCCTCCAACATTAGGCCATTACCAGCGGAGTATGCTGTTCGTGGGTTAGGTTAAAAATAAAAAGGCTGAATAATAATCCCCAATTAGTGGACTTAATAAAC